TAAATTATCAGTCTGAGCATAGCCAGTAGTAATTGTTTATATTATTTTCAGTTTGATCAGGCATCAGCACTACCATTCAGTTTCAGCAGTTCAGGTGGGGACTCAGACTAAGTACTACATTGATTATAATATCGCTACCATGTTTGAGGTATGTATATTCAGTATCCGCTCGGAATGGTCGCCGGTCCATTCTGGGTTCTAGTGGCCTAATCTACCCACTAGAGTGTGCACATGGTCCGGTATTAGTTTGCGCCGACAGATTTCGGTATTAGTTTGTGCCGACAGATGTTCAGTTATCAGTTACGTGACTTATGTCGCGAGATCAGACCGGTATCAGATATCAGTTTCAGTTTCAGTTTCAGTTCAGTTATATATGCTAAGATCATGATATTGTTATTATTTTCAATGTTTACATTAGTATTAGTTTCTCCGGAGCACAAGTGTTTTAGTGCTCACGCCCCCACGCATTTCACTTTTTCTGGTCGCAGGGTCGGGGACGAGGAGTGAGCTGGCGGGCAGTTAAGGATATTTTGTTGATATGTATATATGTGTTTTGCCACGCTTTTATTTCCGCTAAAATTATCAGTATTTATTTTCAGCTTTTGGTCCGACGTTAGTCGGATAAAACATTATAACCGTTTTCACTTATCAGTTTAAAAATTTAACGGTTTTCAGAAAAATCAAGTCTTTCACGGTAGCATCCCGAATCAGTTTTCGCAAAAAAATTAATGTTTTATTTTATTTGTAATATTCCGTTATTTTGTCAGTATAAATTATTTTTTAATTCCGATATAATAATGTTATCGATTATTATTTTCGGGACTAATTATTTTCAGTCGAGATTACCGAAAATTATTTTTGACGTACCGTTTACGTTCGGAATAATTTTGGTAATTAAGTATTATGCTTAAAAATTTAATTAAGCATAATAAGGTGATTAATGATATAATAATCACTAATTAAGTTCATTAATTCCTATAGAAAAAGGCCAAATTCCCTTAAGTGCCGTACACCTTACCTTAGCCTAAGGAAACGAATTTTATCTTTGCTTTTAGGGTGGTGTACGTGTCCTACTAAGAGGACCTAATGATGATTAGTCACATATAATTTATCTCTTAAGATGGCAAGTGTCAAGAGCAAGAGTTAGCCACGATCTCCCTTCATCACCTCTCTTAATAGTTCGGCCTATTTATATGGTGAGTTTGGGAAAATTTTCCAACCTTTCTCATCATATATACGTAGCTCTATATTCTTAGTGCAAGTCCTTAAGCTCAGCAACAAGATCAGCATCTTACCATAAGCCTTCCATACTCTACGCACGACAATTAACGAAGCATCGCACGACAAGTAGCATCGCACGACAAGCTATCGCACACGGCACACACGCGAGGTCTCGGTCAGGTTGCGATATTCCGACGAGCACTTGAGGAGGTAAAGCCGTCCTCAACTCGTTTTTACGTCAATAATCTCATTTAAGTAGTAATGTTCGAATCATGAGTTCATGGCTATAGGTTCGGTTAATGCCTAGTTAAGTCGTAATCGAGTAACTTCTCGTTTTACCCGGCAACTCACGAACCATTTATGTTTAAATGATCAGTTTACCTCATTTTATACTCAATAACTTGATGATGGTCGAGACAAAATGCTGTTTTATTCATGAATTGGCTCTCGGCTGTTGGCAACGCACATCACGCACGGCCACGGCCTACTTCATGCCATATTATGTTACTTTCAGTTTGGTCAAGTTTGTCCGTGTGATTTACGTCTTGACAGCCTTAAAATAATGTTTCATGTTCAATTGGTCTTGAGTTGCCGAGGGTAAAAGTGAAATGGTCAAGTGACGGCCTATCGTCGTCGGCGGCGCACGGCGCGCTCGCCACGGCCCATTCCGTTGATCGTGCGAAAAGTTATGTTTTTAAGTAATTTCGATGATCATGTTCATGTTGAGTCAGGTTATGTTAATTGAGGTCAGATTGCACGGGAATTATTGCCGGACGGCCGGCAAGGGTCGGCCGTGGCCGCGCTGTCCGCACGCAGCGGCAGC